GAGTAAAATAACAACTATTGGTAACATATGGAATCTTGAAACAAATACTTTCCAAAGCTGTAATTATATATATAACCGACTTAATGATAAAAGGAATTGAATAGCCCAATATTTACAAATAGGAAATATATAAAATGTACAAAGATATACTAAGGGGTATAAACAGTTTACAGTTTCAATTTGTTATCTAAATAAGACATCTAAGATCTGTACATGATTTCCGGTATTACAATAACTCCAAAAGCTTTAAAACCGAAAGATATGCAAAACGTTCTGAATCGAATACCGAACGTAAAGCATAATTGAAATGGGAAACTGAGTTTGATATAAAGATTGACTGATAGTCAGTTTGATGTAATTTAAGAAATATTGGTATTAACAAAACAAAATTGTGAATTCCATTGGAAATTCAAAAATTTCATTGTTTATACTAAATCTAGACTACATCGATTGAGCATTCTTTGATTTAAGGCTATTGCCAATTTTGGCAAAATTTCATATATTCCTATAACTGTTAAAAGAAAGAACTGTGAACCTCCTTTTTTATGACAGGCCTTTGAAGCAAATAAGATTTGGCAATAACCAAGTGTGCATAGCCAAATTGAAAATGTAGAAACTTCGAAATATAATAAAGTTTGAAAACATCACTTGCAACAATAATAGATTTATTAGACAATTGTATTGTACATATCAGTGCACATCACAGTTGAGGTGGTTATAGACAGATTTAAACCTGCAAAATGTTTACAAACGATCAAAATCAGAAAAATCTGATATATCTCATTTTTCCAACATTGTGACAACACAAGTTATCTAGACATAGAAAGCGAATAATTTTAATAATCGTAAATATCAATTTTGTAAACCAATTCTGACAGTATGTAAAAAAATGTGCATGTAATGTTGCCACTGAATGTAAGCAATGTTTCAATCACTTTATCTATATATCCGATCATGTTAAACAGATACCTGTAATACAACATGGAGGTTAAAGTATTAGTATTGCTACTCTTGTTAATGAGGAAGTGAACCGTTTAAGAACATTTCATTTTTTCTCATGTTACTTTAGCACTTAACCTTTTCGTCTGTAATCTTTTTCTTCAATTTGTTTGATGGAACTTTGTTAATATCTTTCTAGATTGTTGCGGCGATTTGATACAGTTTCGACTCTTGGCGCGACATTAAACGTCCAAATTCCAAATTCATTCGAGTATTTTTCCGTAGTAAAACATTCGCGTGAACAAACTTTAGTTAAAAAGATCCCCAAGTTATTCAGTGTTCACTAGCGCCTTACATCTATGTGTACTTTGGTAGTAACAACAATGTATAGAACATGTTCTGATAAAGGTAAAGATTTTGATTTGCTTAAAGTGGAAATACTATAGGTCAATTAAAAATAGATGACGTCCCTATACCATAAATTCAGTCGTTAAAACTATATATGTCGAAAGAAATTTCATTTCATCGCAGATGCTGATGATCAAAATGATGGTATTGATGTATGGCTGTTTGACTACCAGTGCCAAGTAAAATTAATATTCAGGACGAGAAAATGCTAATGTCATATGCACCCCGCTTTGTTCAAGACTGACATGCTAGGCCGGATTTCATTTGTGGTAGTTCACAAAGTAGCAGTCTGAAAGAAGACATGTCTTCTAATTAGTATACTACCACTGGGTCGATGCCTCTGCTGGTGGACTGATAGTCCCCGAGAGTATCACCAGCCCAGTAGCCAGTACTTGGGTACTGGCATTAAAATAACGGATTTCATATTATTCAAATTTGCTGTTACAAAATTTTGGAAATTATTTAAAATTAAGGAATGTATCTCCCTTCATGCAAAGCTCTGATTCCTTGCTCAGCTTTGGCTATACGTTTTGGTCCTTTTTATGTTTATAGCTCTTCATATTTTTAATTAGCTTTGGATTTTCAAATAGTTTTGCCTCGAGCATCACTGAAGAGACATTGATAGTCGAAATGCGCATCTGGTGCAGAAAATTGGTACCGTTTATGTTATTTCATACCGGAACATATTATTCTTAATCTGCAACAATCAATTATTGTTCTAAATCCTTAAAATTGCATGCTTAGTGGAGAAAGGTGACATACCAAATTTCAAGTCTTACATTTGACCTGGCCAATGCTCTAACATCTACCTCCCGCACTCTAGGCGAGTGCTACCACGAGATACACGATGTTGTTTCTTCATAGTAAATATAAAATTGCAAATATAGTACTAAGTTGACAGTAGTGGTCATGAGTTTAAACTTTTACAGAACTGTTTTGAGTGCTTAGTTAACAATACGGGATTAAAATAAAAAGGATGCAATACACCGTACAGTATATTTTGATTTGTTCGTTTTTATATATGTTTTGTTATCATGAAATATAAGTTCCTTCGTAGTAGAAGTTCTAAATGGAAGAAATAATATGTAATCGATTGTCCACTCGAGCAAATATTACATTATTTATTCCTAACGGAATGTATGGCATAGAATATCTGTTCATACAGGAACAGATATTTTAGCATTATTTATAACAAAGATTTATGCGGAACTTCTGTTAGGCGGAACAAATTAACGTTGCCAGTGTGTTTTTTTTTTTGTTTTTTTTTTTGGGGAGCTAAACATGCATATCATGCACCAAATTCACTTCATAAGCAGTGAAACACGGAATCAAAGCGTGGCCCCCTCCTCCCTCCACTTGTTTCAGAACATCAGTTAAAAATGGAACAACTGTTAGTCCTTTGTTTTTATTTTTTTCGTTCCTAACTTCAAGGAAAATTAAAAACGGAAAGTTCATTATCAAGAGGCAAAATCAAAAGCACAAACACATCAATCGAAATGAAAACATATTCCTGACTTGGTACAGGTATGAAAATTTCATAACGATTCTTAATTTAAAATGGCTAAGTAGAGCTGTAAATCTGTCATCACGTGCTTACAGTACTTGCAACCTTAGGCGTTACTGTTTTAGCGATCAATCAGCGGTCATCGATCAGTCACCGATCAGTCAAGTTCGCGTCAAACTCACGTCACCAATCCGTCAGACTTATAGTAAAAGTAATTGACTGATCGGACGGATCGGACGGATAGGACGGATCGAACTTTCTGACGGATTGAACTCTAGTACGTCACATGATAAACTAATACAAATTACGGAATCTTAGTTTCGTTTAATTTAATTAAAATGGCGATATGTACAATACGAAACGTTCAAGTACAACTGATCAACATTTTTTTTATTAATTATTCAGCAAAGTTTAATGAATTTAAATGAAAAGAAAAATACAGATAAAACCTAAATTTGAATATTATCATCAAAGAATGGTCCTTTCGTTTTTATTTAGGTTATATATTTTCAAACTCGGAGAGTTCTAAAACGGTGTTTATATCGCGATTTTGATTTTATTAATTTCCGAAAATAAAATCAAATGATCAGTTATTGAAAATTTTGGTGTATTATTTACAATATTTTAAAGTTTTGTATCCTTATAATCCTAAAATTAAAAAAAAAAACTTATCCCAATCGAGGCCATTAAAATAACAAATTACAAATAAAATTGCTGCAATTTTCTCTAAAGATAAGAAATATTGGTAATTTTAAACAATGCGAATAACATTTTAGTATATTTTCTCTGATATTCTTTTAATTTTATGAAAAACAACCAATCCGAAACTATAAACAGTACAAACACCCAATGACAGTCAATAACTTCCATTAAAATGATGAAATGATTGCTTTCTTGTTCAACAAAAACAAAAGTTAATGCATATTAATCCTTCATTTTTTCACATTTTATACAAAATTACTTATTAAAAGGCATTTATAACGACTGATTGCAATTGAGGTTGCATTATTTCAAATATGAGAAGAAATATTTGCATTTAAGGCTATGCGTACAAAAATTTGGTATCTTTTCCCTAAAATTCAGCATATTTTATGAAAAACAACCAATCCTTATATAGAATAAATACTGAAATCTTATGGCGGTTTACAATTTGTATTAAAATAAAGCAATAACTGCATTCTTATTCCACAAAAACAAAAGTTTAAGTATTTTAATTGTGATTATATCTAAAATCTAAATAAAGACTTATCTTGAGGCCTTTAAAATAACTAATCACAAATTAAATAACATCATTTTTCATCAAAAGAAGAATATTTTTTTGTAATTTTAAACAATGCGAACACAATTTTAGTATGTTTTCTCTGATAATCTTTTATTTTATGAAAAACAACCAATACTAAACTATAAAAAGTACAAAAATCCAATGGCGGTCAATAATTTCCAATGAAATGAAGAAATGATTGCATTCTTGTTCAACAAAAACAAAAGTTTATCCATATCTATTCTTCATTTATTCACATTTTATACAAAATAAGTTATTAAAAGGCATTTATAATGACTGATTGCAATTGAGGTTGCATTTTTTCAAATATGAGAAGAAATATCTGCATTTAAGGCTATGCGTACATAATTTAGTATCTTTTCCCTAAAATTCAGCATATTTTATGAAAAACCAACCAATCCTTATGTAAAAAAAGTACTGAAATCTTATGGTGGTTTACAATTTGTATTAAAATAAAGCAATAACCGCATTCTTATTCCACAAAAAACAAAAGTTTTAGTATTTTAATTGTGATTATATCTAAAATCTAAATAAAAACTTATCTTCAGGCCTTCAAAATTACTAATCACAAATTAAATAGCATCATTTTTTATCAAAAGAAGAATAATTTTGGTAATGTTCAACAATGCAACAAAATTTAGTATATTTCTCTGATAATCTTTTATTTTATGAAAAACAACCAATAACAGCTTCCATTTTCATTTGATTATTTCCAAATGATCAAATTCTGGATCTGGCAAGTTAAGAAGGAGACAATTTCTAACTAACAACTATAAGAACGTTGATTTTTAAAGAAGAAATGCCACATGATAGTTATCATACTGTGTACTGTACTCCTTAGATCTATTTCACTACTTGCATATCAGTTTTACATATTAACACTTGTTATAAGCTGTAAACTGTTTCCAAATGTTGCTAAGATCCCTTGATTTCTTAACCAAATTAAACTTAAGAGGCTTTAACAGAATTCTGATAAAGTCAAACTATGTGTTTCAGAAACAATCATCTTATCGGAATTATGTTTAGAACAATATCCACAAAGAGACCAGCTTAGATGCTACAGACATATAAGAATTTTGTTTAGAAGGCCATTGATACAAGATGCTACTAACTTATCAGAATTCTGTTAAGAAGGCTATTGTTATGAGATGCGACAGTCTTATCAGAATTCTGCTAAGAAGACTATTGCTTTGAGATGCGACAGTCTTATCAGAATTCTGTTAAGTATGCTATTGCTATCAGATGTGAGTCTTATCAGAATTCCGTTAAGGGTTTCATTGGTACTATATTCGATTCTTATCAGAATTCTGTTAAGAGGGCTATTGTTATGAGATGCGACTGTCTTATCAGAATTCTGTTAAGAAGGCTATTGTTATTAGATGTAAGTCTTATCAGAATTCCGTTAAGGGTTTCATTGGTACTATATTCGATTCTTATCAGAATTCTGTTAAGAAGGCTATTGTTATCAGATGCGACTGTCTTATCAGAATTCTGTTAAGAAGGTTAATGTTATGAGATGTGAATGTCTTATCAGAATTCTGTTAAGAAGGCTATTGTTATCAGATGTGAGTCTTATCAGAATTCCGTTAAGGGTTTCATTGGTACTATATTCGATTCTTATCAGAATTCTGTTAAGAAGGCTATTGTTATCAGATGCGACTGTCTTATCAGAATTCTGTTAAGAAGGTTAATGTTATGAGATGCGAATGTCTTATCAGAATTCTGTTAAGAAGGCTATTGTTATTAGATGTAAGTCTTATCAGAATTCCGTTAAGGGTTTCATTGGTACTATATTCGATTCTTATCAGAATTCTGTTAAGAAGGCTATTGTTATCAGATGCGACTGTCTTATCAGAATTCTGTTAAGAAGGTTAATGTTATGAGATGCGAATGTCTTATCAGAATTCTGTTAAGAAGGCTATTGTTATCAGATGTGAGTCTTATCAGAATTCCGTTAAGGGTTTCCACTGGTACTATATTTGAAGTGTTATCAGAATTCTGTTAAGAATTATATTGTTATCAGACGCGACAATCTTATCACTGAGAATTCTGTTAAGGACAAAATGTATATTGAAATGTTGGCATATCATTATTAAGAAATACTGTAAAGGACATGCAGGATATTGACATTTATCATATACTTAGAGTAAATAACTTATAATTTTTACAGTATGATAATAGCATTAAATTTACGTGAATTCCATATTTTCCGAAATGATGTTTAGCGGGCTGATATGAAAAATTAATCAAATGCTTCCGATTATTATCACATGCCTTTCCGTAACGTTATCGTATGGCATTCCGGCGTTACTCGGCAAATTCCGGAAAATACATCTCAATGCTACGTTTTCAGTGAAAAACTTTACAAAGTAGGGTACAAAACAATTATTAGGAAACAGGAACATTATTTTACTTTTTATATTATGTAAAATGCAAAAAAAAAAACAAACATAAAAACAAACAAACCAAGTGATACAATAAATGCATTTTTTAAAGTTTCCAGCATAATTTAGAAAGTCACTTTATAAACGTTGACTTTTCCAAACAGTGTCTATTATGTTTTGTTGATTTTTTTTTATCGTCAATATAAAAATGTATAATTTTACTGTTGTTTTTCTCCTCTGTTGAGGCATATGATAGAAAGATTTCATATCGGATGTATTACATTTGGTGTCCGACGTCCGTAAAATTTTCACTTTTTGAACTTCTACTTGAGAACCACTTAACCGGATCAATATATTAAACTGTTATTTTTCTCCATTATTGAAGCATATGATAAAAAGATCATAACATGTCATTTTTCATATCAAATGTATTATCAGCCCTCGGTTAATATCAGCCCTCGAGCCTTCGGCTCTTGGGCAGATATTGAACCTTGGGCTGATAATACATCTGATATGAAAAATGCCATGTAATAATCTGATAGTATGTCTATCAGAATTCTGACCAAAAACACATATAGTGTTGTCAGAATTATGGTAAGGACAGTATTGTTAACAAGGTAAAACGAAACATAGACATATGTATCGTATGAAAAGAAAATACCGCATTTAATTTAAAAGTAATATTATAATAATAAATGAACTCAGTTAATCGTACTTGGTGGCCTTGCAGTGAGGTGAGAGTTGTTCCTTTGTTATAAAGTCTTCGTAGAATAACAAATTGACAAATGATTGGTGAACATTTTCCTTACCTTAACATCAAATTTTGATAAAACATTAATAAACTCCCTTAAGCACATCAAATACATTTCAATTTGTAGCTACTGTCTGCTTAAAATACACACATACAACAGCAATACTTTTTTCATGTGTCCAATTAGAATTAAGAATGCTTACTGAAAGATACAAATGGAATTTTATTTGACTTAAAACGTCTGGAAAAATCATAAGTGGAAACTTTGTTACACTTCTTTAAATATTATAGTAAGTAAGATATTATGCATATTGTAATTGACAATTTTGTACAATATTCACACTTTTAGGATTTGTTAATCTTATCCTCAAATATATATATTGTTGATCATATCCTCCTAATACATGATGTAATAGCTGATACTCGTTGGAGTTATTTAGGGTCCCACACATACATGTAGAAGCACTATATATAACAGTTTTTTAAATGTTGTAGAGCATTTAGTTTCCTTTCCAACGTCAACTTGTATTTCCTAACCAACAAAAGAACAAATGTGTGGTGTTCTTCTCTAAACCAGGAAATGTTTCCTGAAAAAGAAAGAAAATGAAAATTCAAAACCCTATTAGAGTTTCTTTGATACATTAAGTATGAATAAAAGGAGAAGTGAGGTACATGTCAATGAACCAGCAACCTAACCACATCCTGAATGTCAAAATACCTGTTCAACAAAAGAATGTATGGGTGCCACATGTGGAGCAGGATCTGCTTACCCTTCCGGAGCACCTGAGATCACCCCCAGTTTTTGGTAGGGTTCGTGTTGCTTAGTCTTTAGTTTTCTATGTTGTGTCATCTGTACTATTATTTGTCTATTTGTCTTTTTATTTTTGGCCATGGCGTTGTCAGTTTGTTTTCGATCTATGAGTTTGACTGTCCCTCTTCTATCTTTCGTCCCTCTTTTTTAATATCGTTCGAATTAATTTCTAATCAAATGAGTTTAGATTATTCAAACTTCCACATATTTGCACTTAACACCAAATCTACAAACAATAAAAATCAATAAGAAATTACAGGAAACACTGACGAGGTTACCGGTTTTAAGCAGAAATATAAACTTGGGTCGGTAAAAAACAAAATTTCACATCACCCACCCTTTATATCAAAATGAAGGACTCTTTAGTTCATAACAAGAAACACAATGTAAGCGATCTTAAAGTCAACCGTCTTGAGATTATGTAATGCATCACATGCACCGATAATTTGACAGCCACTGATTTGAATATACATTAGTTCATCATAAACACCGAGATCTTGACAGTCAAACATTTTAAGCTACATAAAAGTAACACAAGCACCGAGATATTGACTGACACTCATCTTGAGGTATATATTGATACACCACAAGCAACAAAATCCTAATAGACACTGATATTGAGATACAGTAATGCACCAGAAGCACCAAGAGATCTTAACAGTCACTCATCTTGAGAAACAGGATAGCATCACAAGCACCGAGATCTTGACAGTCACTCATCTTGAGATACAGTATAATATCACAAGCACCGAGATCTTGACAGTCACTGATCATCTTGAGAAACATAAAGCATCACAAGCACCGAGACCTTGACAGTCACTCATCTTGAGAATCAATAAAGCATCACAAGCACCGAGGTCTTGACAGTCACTCATCTTGAGATACAGTAAAGCAACACAAACACCGAGATCTTGTTAGTCACTCATCTTGAGATACAATAATGAATCACAAGCACCGAGATATTACAGTCAATCATCATGAAAACAATAAAGCAACACAAGCGCTGAGATCTTGAAGGTCACTCATCATGAGATACAATAAAGCAACACAAGCATCGAGATCTCACAGTCACTCATCTTGAGATACACTAATGCACCACAAGCAACGACAAATATTGACAATCACTCATCTTGAGATACAATAATGAATCACAAGTACCAAAATTTCACAGTCAATGATCATGAGAAACAAGAAAGCAACACAAGCACTAAGATCTTGACAGTCATTCATCTTAAGATACAGTAAAGCAACACTAGCACCGAGATCTTGTTAGTCACTCATCTTGAGATACAATAATGAATCACAAGCACCGAGATATTACAGTCAATCATCATGAAAACAATAAAGCAACACAAGCGCGGAGATCTTGAAGGTCACTCATCATGAGATACAATAATGCAACACAAGCATCGAGATCTTGACAGTTACTCAGCTTGAGATACAATAATGAATCTATGCACCGAGATCTCACAGTCACTCATCAAGAGATACAGTAAAGTAAAACAACACCGAGATCTTGACAGTCACTCGTCTTCAGATACAGAAAAGAATTACAAGCACCGAGATCTCGCAGTCACTGATCTTGAGAAACAGTTAAGCAACACAAACACCGAGATCTTTTAATAGTCACTCATCATGATATGCAGTACAAAAGATCAAGCACTGAGATCTCACAGTCACTCATCTTGATAAACAACAAAGCAGCACAAACACTGCGATCTCTACAGTCACTCATATTGAAAAACATTAACTTCAAAGCAGATTCTGATAATCATCTATTTTGGAGTATATCCATACACCACAAGCATCGAGATCTAGACAGTCACTCATCTTGAGAAACAGTAAAACAACACAAGCACCAAGATCTTGATAGTCACTCGTCTGGAGAAACAGTAAAACAACAGAAACACCGAGAACTTAACAGTCACTTATATTGAGACGTGTTCGTACACCACAAGCACCGATAACTTGACAGTCACTCAACATAAAGATGTTCATACACCACAAGCATCGAGAACTTGTCGGTAACTCACTTGAGATATATGCATACACCACAAGCATCGCGATCTTGACAGTCACTCATCTTGAGAATCAATAAAGCATCACAAGCACCGAGATCTTGACAGTCACTCATCTTGAGATACAGTAAAGCAACACAAGCACCGAGATCTTGTTAGTCAGTCATCTTGAGATACAATAATGAATCACAAGCACCGAGATATTACAGTCAATCATCATGAAAACAATAAAGCAACACAAGCGCTGAGATCTTGAAGGTCACTCATCATGAGATACAATAAAGCAACACAAGCATCGAGATCTCACAGTCACTCGTCTTGAGATACAGTAATGCACCACAAGCAACGACAAATATTGACAATCACTCATCTTGAGATACAATAATGAATCACAAGTACCAAAATTTCACAGTCAATGATCATGAGAAACAATAAAGCAACACAAGCACTAAGATATTGACAGTCATTCATCTTAAGATACAGTAAAGCAACACTAGCACTGAGATCTTGACAGTTACTCAGCTTGAGATACAATAATGAATCTATGCACCGAGATCTCACAGTCACTCATCAAGAGATACAGTAAAGTAAAACAACACCGAGATCTTGACAGTCACTCATCTTCAGATACAGAAATGAATTACAAGCACCGAGATCTTGCAGTCACTGATCTTGAGAAACAGTAAAGCAACACAAACACCGAGATCTTTTAATAGTCACTCATCATGATATGCAGTACAAAAGATCAAGCACTGAGATCTCACAGTCACTCATCTTGATAAACAACAAAGCAGCACAAACACTGCGATCTCTACAGTCACTCATACTGAGAAACATTAACTTCAAAGCAGATTCTGATAATCATCTATTTTGGAGTATATCCATACACCACAAGCATCGAGATCTAGACAGTCACTCATCTTGAGAAACAGTAAAACAACACAAGCACCAAGATCTTGACAGTCACTCGTCTGGAGAAACAGTAAACCAACAGAAGCATCGAGAACTTAACAGTCACTTATATTGAGACGTGTTCGTACACCACAAGCACCGATAACTCGACAGTCACTCAACATAAAGAAGTTCATACACCACAAGCATCGAGAACTTGACGGTAACTCACTTGAGATATATGCATCCACCACAAGCATCGCGATCTTGACAGACACACATCCTGAGATATTGGCAAACACCCTCCACAAGCAATGAGATCATGACGGTCATTCACTTTAAGATACAGTAATGAACCACAAGCACCTTTGTCTGTATGGAAATATATTCTTTGATTAAAACACATTACTAGTGCCTCTTCAAAGATACTAGGCAAGTTATTTTAAAATTGGTATATAATATAGATGGGTAAAGCAGAAAGTTTGTGCACACGCAACACTAGTTTACAAAATGTACTGCCGGTAGCAAATTCGTCTATCTAGACTATGTGTGTTGTGTTCTGCTTTTTGTCTGTGTACATGTATTTTCTCGTAGGGGTCGGGTCTTCGTTGTTGTGGTCTGATGTACGAAGAAAAGCGATATTCAAGTATAAAAATACGATTTATCAAAATTTCTTTTTCAGCTACTTTGTTACCTAGTAATATTTTCAACCACAGACGACAAATATGCTTCCATAAATTGCCCTGTTAATGAATTTTGATGATGATCAGTTTTGTAAACACATTTAGTATCTGACTGTTATTTTTAAGAAAACAGAAGATAAGAACAAAAGAGTTACTATTTAAAGATATTAATATTTAAGAGCTGCCAGGTAAAAAACAAACAAGAAATTATTTGGAGCTTTAAAGGAATCAAAATATAAATATACAAATATTCAACAAATATAGTTGTACAATTATGCTTTCTGTTTGTTTTCCATTTGAAAGTGATTTATAAGGATTACCTATCTTTTGAGTTCGTATAGATTGTTCACCAGGTCAGCCTTCTCATCGAAATCATCTTGGTAACCTGAAATACAATAACTAAATCAATTTAAAAAAGTACATGTAATGTATGGAACATATACATATTTGTATACGAGTCACAGAGACAAATAACTAATATAGGATCCAAACAAATTACCATGCACATCTCCTTATTTTCATATTAATTCATGCTTCAGGATACACGAAGGACACATTTTGCGTAAAAAACATATTAAATGCAAGCGCCATGTATTCTTTGTGCATTTTTAGGAGCCATATAAAGATTGCGATTTTTTATCAAAAGCAAGCTCTTATCGCTAATTTGACACCGTGAATCAATTTTTGGTAGCATACGTTACTGTCAAACCAATTTTCTGAAATCCTAGTTAAACAAATTTGATTCTCAAAATTAGTGATTCTTAAATTGACCTTAGTTGCAATCTTTAATACAAAAAGATGTTTATCAGAAAAAAAAAATAATTTAAATTTTTACCGCAAATCCCCAAACTTTTATTAACAATTAGTTTTTGTTTTGTTTCCTGGAATCAATCGGCATATACATTGGTGTTAATAATCATTAAATTAATGTTTAAAATTCTACTCCAAAAAATGTATCTCGAAGTCTGTGATAAAACGAAAATATGCCACATTAATTATGTGGTAGATGCTATCAATGCAAAAGGACAATGCTGACTGCCAAACAGTTTTTTCAGTAAAATACGTAAAAGTAAAATAATAAACTATGTAAATAAAAGCACATGGTAAAAACTTTGTATATATATATACCAGCATTTGTGGGAAGCTAATCCTTCAAGCACCTGTTGATACCAATTGCCCAGCTGTTAATCTCTGACCACTTGGTCATATCTTATTAAATCGCAATGAAAATTAATTTATACAACTATGCAGGACAAAAGCGGATTTTAGGGGGGGGGGAGGGGCAGGGTGCCCGGATCTCCCCTTTGTTGGAAAATTTGTGTTGATATAGGGAATCACTGATGCATGACTGGAGCGGGCCTCCTCTGCGTCAGTCAGTGCTCCCTCTTTTATGTACATTTCTGGATCCGTTACTGCAGGTAAACAAAGAAAATATAAGAGAACAAAACTGTAGAGGGAAAAGTCTTAAGTGAAAACATATATTTATAGATAAATATTAAGTGTAAGATTAGTTTAAAAAAACAACTCTGACAAATGTTCTTTCTAAGACAAGAAGAATTTGTATCTGAATCTGACAGCGACATTCACAACACTTATTATTCTAGACAAATAACCTTGATAATATTGATTTTTTTTAACTAAATTTTCGTTTTATTTTGGAGAGGACAGTATGTTGTATGAAAATATCTCTTCTCTTATACATGTACATTTTTCGAGACATTTTAAAGTGTCTGTGTCCTTGTTTATTTCACAGTACAACCTGTTTCTTTTTAAATATGAATGATAATTATTATTTAATAGTGAGAATGATGTTAAATATTAATTACATGCGTTGGTCACTTAAACTGGGCCCCTGTTGTGTTCACGTATTGTGTGGTTCTATTGATAAGATAAATGATTAAGAACGCTTCTGGGGTGTTCCCAGAGGAATGTTTCTAAATATTTTGCATTTATATTCAGTTTTCCAGTGATTTACAAACATGGGAATTGTGATCAAAAAATGAAAAAAAAAGAAACTTTATGGGTACCCCTATGGTTTGGCCTTGATGTGTGTTGTAAAAGCGATTATTTTCTACAACAGCGTGTTCCAGTTATTGGATAATGTGTTTCTGAATGATTTTATTGGTCTCGAAAAAAATGAAAGGTGAACATTAGGAGTTTTGGTACCCAGCAGTTAAATCAATATTTCAAAAATCTGAGACACGTGGTTTTATTGCTAGTGTTTGGTCAATATTAAAGAGATGAAAACAAATGTGTCCTTCCATTTGACGCATATTTCATCCAAGTTTGGGAGCAAGTTTTTGGCAGATATATATAATGAGCTGTATAATTTCTTAATAATCATACCAAAAATTAGATTTGCTGTAGATTAAGAACACGAGTAATAGTTCAGCTTGTAAAAACAGTGAATAACCGGTTAATGAAAAACAGATATTTTCAAAATTTGCTTCAGATGTTGACTCTTGATTATACAACAGCTTCTGTCCAAGCTTCATAATATTCTAAGAAGGTTTGAAAAAAATATTGATGTGAAAAAATAATCTTAATCCAAAATATGTATCTAAATGTTAACTTCCAATTATTTTAGTCCATTAATGAAAGGGAAAAATGTCTCAAAATTTTTCTCTGGATACTGTCTTTTGAATATGAGCAAACTTCTGTCAAAGTTCTGTCATAAATCTCCATGAAGGTTTGACAAAGTTATATATGTGCGAAAACCTTTTAATCATTAAATAAATAGTTTCAATTTGATAAAAAACGAATAAAACCAAGATGAAGAATACAATTTTCTGACTGAAACCCTGTTGTGCTTATCGAAGTCTTCCATCAAAAACTTGGCCAAAGAAAACTATGAACAAGAAAACTTCGAAAAAGAAAATTTGAACAAGAAAACTTGGTCAAAGTCATCTGTTCAATGTCACTATCAAAGTTTTTCATAATTTTCTTTTTAAAAGGCGGGATTTCTATGTTTACTTGAAGAAATATGGCTCTAATAAACTTTTCACTGTGTATTATCATTTTGAGAAGGTGAAGGATTAATCGTAAAATAGTAAAGAAAACGGGAAGAAGAAACTGGCTTCTAAGAAGAAGGCAGAGTAGTACCGAACAGAATCCTTCAAGAACTTCACAGTGAATATCTCCGAGGTCGAATTAAGGAATTATTTTGAAATTGAAAAAGCGACATTCAATCTGCTTTTGGCCAGATCGAACCAATGGTCAAAATACATTCTACAAATTCCCACATTCATATATCGATTTATTTCTCCACATTGTTTTCTTTTTGCTCTAACTGGAACTCATTCTACCATTTCCGATAAATTTGCCATGTACTTTTGTTTTGTGAACAAAATATTAATCATTTCTAAACAACACTATGATGGGCTAATTCCCGTCAAAATACAACAAAGTTTCAAGAAAATTCGAATGAGATTCTATTCCATTAAAGTCCGTGAAAGTTTTTGTCATCAGTATTTTTCACAGTCAACTGTTGTCATTAGAACAAATCTTTCCAAAACTTGGACCTAGTATTCTTAGACAAAGAAAATTTTAATAGTGACTACGAGTCTTTAGTGCAATGTTGAAAAATTTCATGTCGGTTCGAAGACGCCTTTTTTTAAACGATAGACTGACCCTATGTTTACGACACCGAAGATATCGAGGACGAGAACGTCCCACAACTGGTGGATTGTAGTGTCTCGCTTCCGCAACACTTGTTGCCAGCTCGACCGCAAATTCGTCATCGCGAAACAGTTTATACAAACCTATCGAGTTCAATAATGATAATGATGTGCAATAAAACGTTGAAGTAACTACTCCGTGGAGAAATTGACCAAGACGTTCTAAGTCAGGAACCTGTTTTTCAGTGGTTGTCGTTTGCTGATAAGTATTTCTTGTTTCTCGATTTTTATTTAGATAAGACCGTTGGTTTTCCTGTTTCATTTTTCTTTTTGGTCCTTTATAGCTTGCTGTTCGGTGTGGGCCAAGGCTCCGTCTTGAAGGCCGTACTTTGACCTCTTATGGTTTACTTTTTACATGTTGTGACTTGGATGGAGAGCTGTCTCATTGGCACTCATACCACATCTTCTTATATCTATATAAGTTCCTAACATACGGCTATGCCGGGTTTATGAATTTATTGAAATTGGTTATGTGATTTAATTTATATTCAAATAAAGATTTCTTGCTATTTTGCAATTCACAGTGCTATTGCGCAATACTTAGTAAATCTGTTTTCAGACTATATACCAAGAATTAGCAAAAGAAATTGTGACCCCGGAGGGAAAAAAAATTGACCCCCCCCCCCCCCCCCCCCCAAAAAAAAAAAAAATTTTTGTACCCTTCCCCTCAAAAAAAATAATATTTAAAGAAGTTTTGTTTTTTTATAAAATGTGGTACAATTCAAGAGACATTCATACACTTCAACACAAATAATTGTCTGAAAACTAGAATCATGCTTGTTTTGGCCTCTAATTCCTGGACGGTTTGGGCAATTAGCCCAAAAATGAATCTCAACCTTCTACTTATGGTATTGAACCTTGTAGTATAATTTTAGAGCAATCAAAATACTTAAACATAAGTTATTGTCCTGAAACTAGAAAAATGTTTGTTTTGGGCCCCTTTTTGGCCTCTTTTTCCTATACGGATGTGACCATCACCCCCATAAACAATCCCAACCTTCCTTTTGTGGTATTGAACCTTTAGGTAAAATTTCATAGAGATGCGTACACTTAAACTAAAGTTATTTTCCGGAAACTAAATGTCTTCGGACGACGACGTGATAGCAATATACGAACGTATTTTTTTTGCGGTCGTATAAAAACGAGTAAGAAACGTCGCACGATACTGGTGTTATTTTGATGAAATCGTAGACAAGACACACTCATGTCATTAATTTATAAACAATAAAATTGATATTCTGAAGTATTATGTATCATTTTAAAGCTTTTAAATTCTACTTTCAGAATATTGCAATTTTGTATATGTAACAGACTATTTTCATTAAGTAAAAAACAATAAAACCTTTATTTTTGAATATTATTTCCTTGTCCCGCGTTACACTTTAAGTTTTGTGAAATTCTGAATATCGTAAAAAACATATAAAAAATTCCACCAACCTATATAAAAGTTTTGTCTACAACAAACACGTCATAATTGGTCGATGATGTATATATATATGTCGGTTTCTTTCTTTGAAAAGACTGATTTTTTTTTAAAAGGGACGAAGATGATACAAATTATGTGTCCCATGCACGAAAAATTGCCGTCATTTTTCTAAATTGTCCCCAAAAATGGGAATAACAGAGCAACCACCATGTCGTAGGTAACTAATTCTTATACTTGTATTTTGTACAAAGCTCACACTTTCGCCTCATGCAATTATCAGGTTTTTTTTAAATAATTTCTTTTTGAGTTGAATAACAATGTCCGACATTTTGTCCCCTTCAAAACCAATTGACATAGTGTTACGTTTTTCTGTTTTTTTCATGATATTTATTTGATGCAGTGCTATTCACTACATAAAAAAGTATAGGGGATAAAAGTACAAACAATTCTCTCTATTTTGATATTTATTTCTCATAAATTTAATCTAAAATACGAAATATCATGCAGATACATCTACAATGTCCGATACAATGTCCCGACATACGATTTTGACGTTATGTAACAAAATATACAAATGTTACGACTATTTGTCATTATTGCGGTATTCACAGACGATTCGGAATACGGCTATTTTTTGGTTGCTTGTGAAGAAAACTTTTAATGTTTTAGGTAAAAGCTCTACCAATTCATTGGAGGGGAAATATTTCCTCGCGGAACAGAAGTGTTTTCCGGACTTTGTTATGATCGACAGGCCCATCCGCTACAACACAAATTAATAGAAAGGAAAGCAGCTATTATTCCCGCTGATTCCCTTGCATATATTTGTGAAGAACTCAATGAAACTGTCATGCTAACTATATTGTAGTCCATTCGCCTCAACATTCTGGATTGTATAAAAGAATGCATTTGCAGTGCGTTGTGTATTAAAAAGAAATTGATTGCTTTTTGTAATTAAAATGTATACTATTCAAATGATTTCAATTCAATTAACATTTTTATTTTTAATTTGTTAATAAAAAGCTTAGTATCTACTATCTAAGAAAAATATGAATCTTAAGGTATTTCGCTCATAAAATCCGTTAAAATTTATTTTAGAACTTGAGCCATCTTAAAAACGTGCATTCTAACGTTTTTGTTTTGGCTTACGTATTCAAGTGTGTAACGTTAGGTGACACCAGTTTCGTGCGACGTTTTTTAAAATATTCTTCATAGAAATTCAATGTTAAGCAGCAGCCCATTTTGAGACCTCAAGTCCATATCATGTTTCCCAGTATGCCGGAGGATTTCTTGGCTAATTGTTATAATTTGAATGCAAACAAAACGATCATTGAAGGATTGGCAAATCGGACAAGTGAAAATTCTTAAGAGATTTTCCTTATCATTAATCAAATAGTGTATATGTCAAGTATTTGCTTCAATACTATATAAACAATTATAATAACAACTTAATGCTATCATATTTTATAATTAATTAATGCTATGTAATGTGATAAATTCAATACATAATTCTCGAGACCTCATATTATAGATAACATGTAAATACTAGTTTTTAATATTTCAAATAAAAATAAAATTTGAGAAACCACAAGCGGAGCGGTAAATACTGTCCATCGATCTAAACAATGATAAACCATAATACTTTTATTTAACCAGTTGGCACTCATAAACCAAAGAATGGCTAATTAATTCATCCCTTGGTATCTTCAGCCTCCTTTTTATCAACACATTTATTCATTTTAGAAATGATATAATGTTTGAATCTTTTGTCAGAGCAATACATTTATGTAGAGTGTAAATACAAGTTTTTTTTCTTTTTTTCTCACTTTTTTAAATTTAAATATATTTAACATGGAAATAAAGTAGAAAAATAAATATATTTAATGCGGTGACCCTGTATATAGGTGGAAATCTCAAAGAAGAGAAAAAAGAAACTTAAGATACTACGTATATACTAATTTCCCAAAATGATTTATTCACTCGCAAGGTTATTTGCATTTTCTATTTCATGAAACAATAAGAAATTTCCTAACAACTAATCAATTTCCCATCAATATAATCTATTGTTATACGAAATTGATTTATCATATATAAGTTTCGCTTTTCATTGACGCTAGTATTAAAACTAAATATTGTGTAAATTAAATACGACATTCATTTTTTTTCATAACGAAAAAAAAGATACATATAATAATTTCGTGATATATGAAAAAATATTAAACTTGATATATTCACAAGTGCCTTAAGTGTATATTGCTTAGACATAGCAGCAGCAAAGTCATATAGCAGCCCCTGTCGACCAACGTTTTTGTTACATATATTAATTTGTTCAATATACTGTACTGTCATTCCATTTGCAAACACAATGCGGTTTGGGGGTTGTCTTCTAGTCTTTGTTCGCTGTCTTTTTGTCAATACACCAGACTAGTTTTGTATTTATAATTTCAAAAATGCTAGGGGCATATGAATTATGTAGAGATAAATGACACTTCTTTTTAAAAAAAACTTGTCGATACAATTCCGGACTTGTACATCAAAATGAGATGACCCCATCTGTGATGTTTTTAGAAAATATAAATGATGCACAAGCATCACTAGTTGAAAACAGAACTTTTAACTGAAACCATCTGTCGAAATGTTCGAGTGAAAGTTCCTTCTGCTACAACATGACACCATCTCTTGGAAGGCTGGTTACGACCATACTCGATTAAACAACTGACATATAGTTACGCCAAACAAAGTTACGTCTATATTAACCTTTTCTTCGTTTACAATTAAATATACAATGTATATGCAATATTTGTACTCACCTATATCATATTTCTTTGAAACGTCCTCCTCGTTATATAAATACTCAATATTGCCTTCCATGACCTGGAATCGAATTTGAATTTTGAACCAATGAAAAAATAGAGATGTAACGGCGCTTATTTTCAAAATTTTCAAACTATACTATCTCTACTTCTGTTCCACTTTAAATGTTTGAAATACGTATGGGAATAAAGTAACCGAGTTTAAACGTTAGCATGCCATCTTAAAACATATAAATACATACTGAATATTTGTTCCGGATCAACAAATTACAAATTGAAAATTATTGAAACTTGTGAAATCGTGTTAGTTAGTCAGTCATACACAAGTTTTTGGAATATACTGTGTTCTGGAATTTAAAAAACCCAACAACAACAATGCAAATATCTATCAACCAGTGTTAATGTGGTGACATCTTTACAAGCAAGTCTTACATCTTTTTGTGATAAATACTTTGGGAAGACTTTACGTAATGATGACAGAAGTTCAATTATGGAGACGAGACTAGTGAAAACGGTGAGTGTTTCTTTTATTCACAATGTGTCACTATAAAATTAAATGTTTAAATCTCAAAATATCTTAACTTATACAATAATTAAGCCAGTAAATCATCATTTCGCCCTTTCCAAATAAATGTTCCCATTAAAATGCAAATTATTATCGTCCAAAAACAGGGGTTCCAACCCCGAACCCCCACCCCCTGGACCGCAACTGGTGTAACAAATCCAATATAAATCACACATCTTTTGACTGATAAATTTCGGTTCATATTTCATTTTGAATTTCCTTAATTTTTGACTAATATGATACGGAAAGTAATATCATAGTTTTCTTTGTCATAATACGAAATAGTTAATTATGTTCAGTCATTTTTAAACTGACAACGACATGGCTATAAAGATAAACAGACAAACAACAGAACACAACCCTAAAGGATCATAAAGACTGAGCAACACGAACCCCACCACGAGTTAATTATATATATATATTTTTATATCATTTATTTATATAAATGATATTGTCGGTCCAAAAATTATATAATAATTTAAAAAAAAAGGAAAACAAATAAAAAAACGTCTGCTCTAAGACAGAAACGGGAGAACCAATATAATCGATTGATATAAGTATGAAGTCCTGCACTACATCATGTACATGTATGCTATAAAACTAAAACACTTTCAGCATGTTTTGTTCACACCATAATCATGAAAATCACCATCGTCAATTTTTTGTTATTATCAGAAATATTATTATTATACATGTTATATTAGTAGTGTTGTTGTTCTGTACCAGACACACTGATATTAATATATAATTATTTGTACTTATTCATTTATTCAATTAATACTTATCAAAACTTTAAAACATCTATGAGAATATTATATAGTTAACAAAAAACTATCAAAATACTATCTTCATGAATTTGAATGCTAAAAATAGTATATTTTTATGCGTACCTCCATTAAGAATTCCAAGAGTAAAATGCTGTGTAAAGGTTTCACAAACAAACCGTGTGCTGTATTTGGCGGGAGACACACACTATTATTATAGATTACAATCACCGTTTAGACAGCTAGTAAAACCATATGGTTCATACACATGGATTAAGAGATACAATGAGGCATTTCTTATCGGATGAAATACTTGTCAAGAAAGATGTTATATTAACTGCAATTATGGCTCCAAAATTAGGGGAGTCAGGAAAAATTGTGTTTTGCACCCCCTTTTTTGCCAAACATCTTTTTTTTAACAAATGAAAGATGACGCTGACTTATTTTTTTTTCTCTTCCCTTGTCGCTTTCAGAAGTCTATTGGATAATTACGTTCATACCGGTAGAGGACATTTTAGCGCATAAATCATGTTAATAGGGCATTTTAGCGAAAAAAATCATGGGTGACGTTTTAGCTCCAAAGTATAACCCAATTTAGCGCATGATGTTTAATCCATTTTAACAAAAAGTTAAATTATCAATGCCCATTTTAGCGCAAGATTTATAACCCATTTTAACGAAAATTTTAATTGTCAATGATTATTAGCGACATAAATTAATTAATAGTATATTAATAAATTTTAATAGAATCAAGACAGCACAATACAAAAAATATCATGTTCATTAACATGATCAAAATACAGCACTTAAAGTCTACTGAAAAGTTTAACTCAAATGTAACAAGTCCGTTTTAGCCTGGAATCTATATCCTAACCATTTGCTAACGGAGGTACATGTACGTAACGACCTCTTGATATACCCCTTGTGCATTTACTTCTCATTAAATATACATCTTTTTAATCCTGTTAAATAAAATAGTTCGTAAAGGATTATTACTATTGCAATAAACATGATAAATAAAAAAAAAATATATTTACCATCAATTTGTTTACAGTTATTATACAGTTCAAGTTATATAGTCTGTTTTACTTGGAATATTCCTGAAACGACCAGGGGCCGGCTTCACGAAGCTATCATAAGACCTGTCATAAGACATATCTTAGAACATGTCTTATGACCCTCTTATGACTATCCTATGACATATCTCAGACCTCGTCTCGAAGCTGTCTTAGGATGATCTTAGCAAAGATATCCTAAACATGTCGCAACTTCTTTAAATTTAAAAAAAATAAAGAATAAGTGTAATTTATATAAATAGTCTAATATGCATATGAACTTAAAAAACAAAATTGAGAAAAGGGAATAAAATTATAACATTTCTTTGTACAAGTGAGTTGAATTCAATATGTCCCTGTATCGGCTTAAAATAATAAGGGTAAAAGGATAAAATCGTGCACTCTTGATACCAATACATCGAATGTTCATTGTTGACAAATCATGATATAAATCCTTCAACCAATACAGATTTAGTTGTGAGCAGGACATGGAGAATAGATAATTGGATAAGAATTAGATAATTTGCAAAATCAATATAAAAACTGCGTATTATTTACATAAATAAACTTATGACTATCCTAAGACACCTCTCGTGTAGTCCTAACTTTATGACCAACTTTAAGAGATGTCCTAATTTAGGACCACTTTGTGAAACCCACTTAGGACTAAGATATGTCGTAAGACCATCCTAAAACATGTCTTAGTCCTAAGAAAGCTTTGTGAAACTGGCCCCAGGCTCTTTTTATTTCCAAATCATGATCACTGCTGCGAAAATTTGTTATAAGTTGTCTACTTTTAATTTAACCTGCTTCATTGAATAGAACTTACTATATGACTTAAAGAATACTTTTGAATATTATTCAAGTTATGTAAATTTTGAAATGTTATATGTTTGAATTTTTTAAAACATTATTCCTAATTTTCTTTCTCTAAAACCGGTTTATAATTAATCGTTTGAAAACACAAAAATATCTATGTTTTCATGCTTATTCTGCTATATCTAAATTTGATTCTTCGCTTATTTTAGGTGCAAGGGATACCATAGAAAACTTAAACGTTGGACGAAAGTGTGTAATTGCAGGATAAAAACACTACATGTACATAGTAAGAAATTATCAAATTTATTGGTGTATTAAAACGAAACATCAGAAAGGCTCGGTAAGCCTCGCGTTCTCTCCTGTTTCATAAAGTTAGTATAAATAATTCTTATATTTTCCGACAATGTACATATACTGTTTATACGAGTGGGGTATGGGGTATGAAAATGAAAATAAGACAGCAAACCCAATGACACGAACAACGAAAGACACATTGATGCCAACATACGGTTAAGAGGAGACTATACAATCAATTATAATTCCAGTTAATTTATATAAATTTAACACAGACTATCAAGTACCTGCAATCAAAACCAAAACTACACATTTACATGTACAAATGACAAAAGACAACTAATTGCGAGCTTTTAAACAGTTAACGGGATTGAACTAGCTTTTTAGACCTCAACAACACTAACATAATATTGACCAATGGACAAACAAATGTAGAAATATACAATATTCGGTCACTGTCAGAAAAATATCAACTTTTATGCATGAGGCTTAAAAATTATCGAAGGGCGAGGTTGACCAAGTTGTTCAACTGTTTCGTGCCGAATACAAACAAGTTGATATCTTACGAACCACAAATTTGGAAGAAAAATGACGTGATCACGTTGTTTATATCCGCCGTACAGTTTTTTTCCGGGCAATGCTGCTTATCCGATGCGAGGTTGATAAGCATTATACAATTATTGTCTTTTGATGAGGTTGATAAATATAGATTCTACCACTGTATCGAGTGTGATACGATATTTATCCACTCGAGACAGTTTTGAAAATTTTCAAATTTAAAGCGCGAGGCTTGCCCGAGCGTTTTAAATATTTTTAAAAAATTTATCTGTCGAGAGTGGATAAATATCGTATTACACGAGATTTTGAGGTGGAATCAGTTTCTCGAATGATTTTTATGCAGTATGCAGGCAAACTTATTCCTTCGTCTAAAAAAATGTGTTCTTTCTATTTGACGTCATCAGGCATGGTCGCCTTTTTTCATGACGTCACAATATGAAATTCTGAAGAAAGCAAGAAAATTTGACGTCATAATCGAATTTCGACAAATGAATAGCTGAGATCAAACGAACCACACGTTGATTAAATATAGATTCTACCATTGCATCGAGTGTGATACGATATTTATCCACTCGAGACAGTTAAATTTTCAAATTTAAAACGCAAGGCTCGCCGAGCGTTTTAAATATTTAAAATTTAACTGTCGAGAGTGGATAAATATCGTATTACACGAGATTTGGTGGTGGAATCTGTTTCTCTAATGATTTTAAAACAATATGCAGGCAAACGTTTTCTTCTTTTCAAATGATCTGCAAAAAGATGTGTTCTTTCTATGTGACGTCATCAGGCATGGTCGCCTTTTTTCATGCCGTCACAATAGGAAATTCCGAGGAAAGCATGAAAATTCGACGTCATAATCGAATTTTGACCAATGCAGAACTGAGATCAAACGAACCACACGTTGATTAAATAAAAATAATCAACATGTCGGGAAAAGGATAAATCGTGTAAGAATTAGAGAAATAAAAATAATCAACAGGTTAGGAAAACGATAAATAAGCTAAGAATTAGAGAAATCTGTGTATCAACTGAAATCAAAAGTCAACAACAGTTTTATTATATAACTTTTATCCTTCTC